GAATGTACAGCGCTCTCTTCCACCTTCAATACCACGACTGAGGTGCCCTTGAGCAAGGCACCGAAGCCCCAACTGCTCCCCGGGCGCCGCAGCAAAAATGGTTGCCCACTGCTCCGGGTGTGTGTTCACGGTGTGTGTGTGTTCACTGCTGTGTGTGTGCACTTTGGATGGGATAAATGCGGAGCACTAATTCCAAGTATGGGTCACCATACTTGGCCACATGTCACTTCACTTTTTTTCACTTAAATGGAAATATTAATTTACAGGTAACAGCGTCTGGTGACCAAACGGCGTGTCTGTGGGATGTTATTACTGGTGACCTGCTAGGAACATTTAAAGGACATCACTGCAGTCTTAAATCAGTGGCTTTTTCCAAGCAAGAGAGAGGTAAATTCTACTATTATGTAAGACTACACCTATCGTCAAAATAGCATACTCTACTGTGCAGTATGAATACCGTAAATTATGTATGCATGAAATATGTCAATAACACTACTTTAGTTATGTGCAATATACTGATAATGTATCCCGTAATGCACCTTCAGATATAATCAACCATTATAACATCTTTCTTGATGCGTGTTTTGTTTGTTCTGGTAATAAATATTATTTATTTTATTAAAAAAATGTTTAAAGAGAACTGAATTAAAGCCGTGCCGTTTAATAAGATGTTGTAGCAATTTATTAAAAAAATTGCACACAATTTTTAAACCGAAGTAGCGGTGTTATAGCTTATTAAAACTATTAATAATGGTTTTTCAGCAATTTAAATAAAATATAAATATTAGATGGGAAAAAAAATTCGAATGTGTTTAAGTTCAAATACAAAAAAATCCTATAACTGAAATGAAAATAAATGAACGATATAAAACATAATTCAAAATATTAATAAATACTGTAATAGTATATAAAAAAGTGTGTGTGTTTTCCTCAATTTATATTTATTGGTGGACTTTTTTAAACCGCTTGTTCTCTCAAAACAGCTGTTTTTAGCACTGGAGGCAGAGATGGGAACATAATGATTTGGGACACAAGATGCAGTAAAAAAGGTACTTCATTATTCTGACCACCAAATCTAAATCTTATGGCCATCAAAATGATTTCTAAAGCTCACAAAAATGTTTCAATCCATCACAGATGGTTTCTACAGGCAGGTAAAACAGATCAGTGGTGCCCATATGAAACCTGAAAAATACACACCTCAAACAAAGAAAAGGCGTGGGATGGCGCCCCCTGTGGTGAGTCAAACAGTCCACAGTGCGGAGACATTCATTTGCCAGCCGTGTGTTGGAAATGTATTGCAGTGTAATACAGCCTTGATATATCATAGGGATGCTCCTTGAGTGTTTTTTTATTTTATTAAACATTATATAACAACAGAAGTTCTATTTTACAAATTCAGAGATTTTGCCTTTTTAGGACTCCCAGCAGGGTGTGACGGTGGTTTTGTTCTGCGATGAGAACAAACTCATCTCCTCAGGAGCAGTAGATGGGTGAGTGAGTGCCTAATGGATTTGATGTATTTTTCATGGATTTCTTTTCATAAATATTATATGCTGCTACCTAGGGGTGTGCGATATATATCGTCTGCAATAATATCGTAATTGTTGTTTTAACGATGTGCGATTTGACATTATCGAGTATTTTGCAAAACCCATTCAAAACACCCCTACAGAGTTGCACAATCACATTACGTGAAGTCTAGACTAGAGTGCGCGTGCATTTAGTGTGTGTTCTTTCACTGCATGATTCAGTCTAATAAAATGCATTTAGAACGATCACAAAATTCAAGATATGGCGACAGAAAGTGTATATATTTATATAATTTCATATAGTTAATCAATATCACACAAAGAGTGTCGTTTCTTTCTCCAAAAATTACCATGATTACAAATGTCGCATTGATTTTTTTTTTAGTTAATCAATATCACACAAAGAGTGTCGTTTCTTTCTCCAAAAATGACCATGATTACAAGCATAGCATTGATTTTTTTTTTACAACCGTTCAAAAAACAGGAAGTTAATTAAGAAACTTACGTTTTTGCTCTATTTCGACGACAAAAATAATTCACAACACAGCCACAGCACTGTTTTTCGTCTCTGAGGAACATGAATCAACCATTTAAATGATTCGGTTCAGCCGCAGTGACTCACTTATTAACAAGTGACTTGCTGCCACCTACTTGCGGTTTTAATTTCACATTTATCACATGCATTTGTAATTGCAGGTTAAATGCATTCATGTCCTGCATTAAACAGTGTGTAAATACATCTAAATTCGAAAGATAATGGATGCTTTTAGAAAAATGGCTTTATAAAGGTAAAAATGCCCATAAAAGGTAAAAATCAATTTAAACGTATTGGAAAAGATTCGTTTCTATCACTGCTGTGAACTGACCGCCACACAGAATATGAAGAATATCAAAAACTTTAGGAGTCAGCTGTCCTTCAGCGGTCACAGTAACTCCTCATTTTATGTGAAGTCCAGTGTCAGCCCAGATGACCAGTTCCTGGCCAGTGGTTCAAGTGACCATCATGCTTATATATGGAAGGTAAGGACCGACCTAGAAAACTAGAAAGCTAACCGGTCTCGGTCTGTCTGAGAACATCTGTGGTCACTGTCTGCATTTATGACATTTTGTTTTTGTTCCAGATTTCAGACCCGAAACAAGCTCCCATGATGCTTCAGGGCCATAGCCAGGAAGTCACATCAGTGGCCTGGTGCCCCAGCGATTTCACCAAGGTTGGTACTTAAAGAAAAAGAAAAAAAACTACAAATCTCTTAGATGTATGGGCAGTTTATTCAATATAACAGTATAAAAGTTTTATATTGTCATTAGACTTGTGCCGGTATTCGGTAATGCGATGTATCATGGTAATGAATATGCACGATATTGTTATCGTGGGCACTTCTAAATACCTTGAATAATTATATATTACAAATAATTCAGAATTTTGAATGCATTTTAAGAATACTTTTCCCATAAACTGGTCAAAATGCACAACAGTAAAATCCAATCACCACCCAGAGTACCTGGTGGGTCTCTCTTTCTCTTTTTGTGAATTTTCTACTTTGTGTGTGCGTGTAACACATTTTATTTCAGATTCAGAGCTACTGGTTAAAAGTTTGGGATAATTAAGATTTTTTAAAGATTTTTTTCTCACCAAGACTGCATTTATTTGATTAAAAATACAGCAAAAATAGTAATATTGTGAAATATTATTACAATTTAAAATAACGGTCTATTTTAATATATTTAAAAAAGTAATTTATTCCTGTGATGGTGTAAAGCTGAATTTTCAGCATCATTACTCCAGTTTTCAGTGTCAGAAATCATTCTAATGCTCAATCATCTATTATTTATATTAATAATTAGGGATGTGACGAGATCCGACTGGTCTCACGAGAACGTGCAGATATCCTTGCAAAACAATTCGCAGTTTACATTAGATCAGCACAATTAATCGTTTAAAGATCGCGATCTCGATTCAAACACCCACGCAATCTTATTCCTGAATGACAACAGTTCAGCTATATCTATTACGACTGTTTCACATCGCGAGTGTCAGTGGAGCGTGAGAAGCACGTTTTGTCGCTGCCCATGTTTATGAATCATTCATGCTGCTGCTGGTCCAGAAAGAGCAACACAAACAGTCTTTTCAACCACACATCATTATTTCTG